GTGTCAAGCTGCCATTTTACGCTGGTATTCTGTGAGAGCATGGTCCTTCCCCGATCGAGCCGACCCATTCGTGTTACAACTACACTACTAATATAGCTGCAGCATAGTTCTTATTAACAATACAAAACAAATTAGAAATAGTTTGGTAGCGATCACCTCATTTCCAGGGGTTATCTATATTGGCAATCTTATTATCAGGGGTCTCCCACCTTTGACGCAATATACGTGAATTATCGGTCTAGAAATATAAAAGCTTTTACAAAAATTTACTTCGCAAATATCCGCGTTATAAAATAAAATGATGTGTCTTACCTAGTATGAAGAAGCACCTCCCTAGGTAAGACACATCATTTTATTTTATAACGCGGATATTTGCGAAGTAAATTTTTGTAAAAGCTTTTATATAATGGATTTCCGCAAAGTAACGCCTGATTCTATTAATTGGTCTAGAAATAACTAAAAAATATCTAACTTCTTGCGTAATGATTATACTGCCACCAGTTGGAGACCGTAAGGTTTTCTTTGTATTTTCCGAAGGCGCCTGTGGCGGAACCCAAGGCAACTGGTGAATGAATTCTTACGCCACCCCCAACTTCACAATATCATCATTAATTTAATTTATTTTAATTACAATAATATTAATATAAATGAATACATGGTTGATAATAACCCCAAGGAATGAGGTGGTCGCAGCCAAGCTGTTTCTAAAATAAATTTTAAAATTTGTACAGCTTCTCATATTATATAATTTACTTTAATAAAAAGTCCCGCTGGGATTCTTGGTAGTCCTTCCAATGACAGAGATTTTTTTTCCGAACCAGTGGGATAGTAAAATAAATACTTTCAATAAGACTAACATGTAATCTATATTGAATAAAATATATATGTTTGGGGTTGAATTAAAAAAAGTACATAAATTGCAAATCAGATTAATTTTTATTATTGTTCATCTCATTAGTCAATGTATGCTTAACATGGACTATTGGTAATACTCTTTAAATTTGTGTACATAATATATTCTCCAAAATAATTTATTGAGGAATATTAAGCATTCTAGAATTGCGGTCACCAGAATTCAAGTGGTGCATGATTAATTATATTTCCCCGACCGTCTTGAAAGTCACTTGTCATAACTCGTGACAAAAAGTTTTTGTTGGAGTAACTACAGAGATATATCTCTCCGCACAAGTTTTCTCAACATGATACTTAGAGACGTAAAACGTAACATTTTATATGCGACATCTATTAACTTTTACCCTTAGTTTTTGCTAAGCGCTCGCTGTATATTTCACAATACGCGAGCAATCCGGGTTCGATCCGCGCTGACACCCAAAGAAATTTGTCATTGAAATTTAAGTGCTGAATTACCACGTACTCGGTGATGATGGAAAACATAATGAGTTAGAAAAACTAAAATTTTATATTCTCGATATTTCGAGTACTTTACAGCACCAATGGCCACGGGGGGTGGGGGGGGGGAGTGAGGTGTATGACGTCCCAAATCATAGATAACCACGGCTATCTCCATATTAAAAATTATTGTATATATTGAATTATTGTATATAATTACCTAGATTCACTCATGAATCTACAAGTATGAGACATTAAAATCTTCAATTAATATTTCAAAGATATTTGTACATTTCCTTAGTTTTAAACGCTCCACCAAAAAAATATATAGGTCTTCTTTCTTCTTTTAAAAATATATAGGTATATATCTTCCATTGTAAAGAAGATTTGCCCCGTAATCGCCTCACTTGACAGGTGACTTATCGATTGCAATACCAGTAACCATCCCTCCTTTGAAACTTCGACTGCTCCCCGTCGCTAGTCTGTATTGCGTATCGGTGTGGTCCGAGCAGTGACGTGGAGTTTCGGCGTAAGAAAATCCACTTCCCTGTATCTCTCTTTCTCTTAATTTTTTTTGGATGCTTTGGATACCTTTAGAGGCGACAGGGAAATAAAACAGAACATGAACAGCATCATCTAAGTAAAAACTCCAAATAATAAAAGAACTGCAGCAGAAACCCCCTGCTAAGCGTGGTAACTATAGCAAATGTTTTCTTATGAGGCAATCTATGGATGAGACCTACGTCCATCAGTGGACTTTTGATAAGTTTTAATGAATAAATGAATGCGAGATTGTTTTATATTTTCTTTTTCGTTATAGACCCGTAAATTTCTACCGCAGAATATATGCCTCTTCAATTGCTGCGAATATTTGCTTTAACTCCACACTTGGCAGGATCGTAGTACCAGACGTTTTGCACCTTGCACGCTGCATCTTGTCACCGGACTCAGAATTAGAAATCTACAAATAACAGAAATATACAAGCTTTAAAACATCTGATTTAACCTTTTAGGTAGGATTGTAGTGAAAACACACATTCCTATAAAATTGACAACAATTATCTATGTTAGTTACATAAATACATAAACCGCGTATTGCGATGAAGAATATCTACTACCCCATGTAGTTCCGTGGGTGTTGTAAGAGGCGAGAGATAGAAACTGAAACAGGAGATATATTATATTATAAACCGTGGAACTTTGATACGCTTTAATGATGAGATTCAAAAGAAATACACATTCAGTGAAAATTTCAACTGTTTACCTATTACGGATTGAGATACAGCCCGCTCATAGGCAGGTGGACGGACGAACGGACAGATAGCGGAGGCTTAGTAATAGGGTCCCGTTGGTTACCCTTTGGGTACGGAACCATAAAAATGAATGGTATAAAACAAAGTATACGAAATTATGTTTTTTATTTATATACAACACAATCCACTAGTATAACATTGCGGTCCAATTTGTGGTTCATTGACTTTGACAAATTATTGTGTATCTTTATAATATAAAAATGGATCGCTGAATGTGTTGCTAAGCGCAAATCTCGAGAGCAGCTGAACCGATTTCGCTAATTCTTTTTTTATAATATTTCTTGAAGTACGAAGATGGTTCTTACGGAGAGAAAATTTTAAAAAATTGCCTGAAAAAGTCTAAAAACAACACTTTTCTATATTCCCATACAAAAGATTCGTAATAATACTTAAAAGTCAATTTGAACTTTAATACAATATCATAAAGTTTAAGTGTTAGTGGAGGGGTTCCGGGAAGACAAAACAATTGAGTCACGTTAGTATCGTATAAATATTAATGTCAATATTTATACACACTGGCAGATAGCTGATGTTATAAGGAGTAACTTGGACTGCTTTTATTTTAGGCGCGAAAAATAACTCCACGCGGGCGAAGTCGCGAGGAACAGCTAGTTAGGAATAAATATGGTTGCACACGTAGGCAAGCAGGCACACGCCAAGTCTTATCTAGGTTGGCGAATAGCAGTGTTGTAACAAATGCTAAATGTAATTGGGTTAAGAGAAGTTCGTACGTACACTTCACTCTTGTGTCAAATGTTTTAAACAGTGCAGTTTGCTTTTTTTTCATCGAGATGTTTAGAAAATCATTTTACTGGTTATTGTTTATTTCTTGTTTTATTAACAGTAATATTCCATTGCAGCCTATAAAAGTACACTGATAAACATAGGCCTTCCCAATAGATTGTCTCATAGGGGGGATGTCGCCAAAGTTGCTATACTTGGCTCAGGAAGATGCTGTTGCCCATCTCCTATTTCGGATTCCCTCTGTCGCCTCTTACGACAACTACGGAACGATATAGGGTAATGGATATTCTTACACCGCCTCTACATGGTAGGTAAACTGTAAAATGATGTTATACAATTTACGCTACTGGAGATTTGTTTTATTCTTTTTATGATTTTTTTTCAAGCCTTAATTATGAAAAGAAATCTTCATTTCTCTTTCTGTGAATGTGCATTTGTATTAGTTTTTACAAGTTTTTATATTCTGTATGTAACAATATTTCAATATATTAATGAGTTCAACAATCATTTATCTTTCTTACAATGTGCTTTTTATATAATTTATTTGTATAATATGATTGCTAGATATGGTTTCATGCGACAAAACGTTAGAATCTAAATTTTTAGGCCCTAACAGAACATACTTGCACGCTTCGCGCGTAAGGCATGCAAAATGGATAATGCTCAGTATGTAACATAGCTATTTTCTGTAATATTTTTTAAAAAACTATGCATAGGTTACTAACATTATTATCTCATTCACACATCACTTGTTAGTTAGTTGTTAACTTTTTTCCAAAGGAGGGTGAATGGCTCTTTAATAACTGATCCAATAAATTTCTGATTTTTTTATTCAGCTATTGTTGGTTACTATGAATATTTATAAAGTAAATCCCTGTTCTTATAAATGGCTCTATATTTCTAGACTATAGATATTATTTGAAAAACAATTCTTAAACATATATTTGTGGTGGCCTATCCACTCGGGTTTACAGGCGTGATGCGTCGTATGTATGTACATACTTACTTAGGGCCAGCTTTGCCGTATTCCTTGCGAGAGGCCTATGTTCAGCCATAACTTGCTTTCGCTTGTGAAAGGCTGTGATGATGATTAATTACTATTAAACGATTACAATATCCGCCTTTAAATATTGACATCAATAATTTTCTTAGGGGTTTTATTAATTGATTTGTTTTTAATTTTTATTGCATACCTTTTAAGAAATGATACAAAGGATTTAATGCATTAGCCTTAAATCCTCTGTATAATATTTAACCAGTTGGCTGGTAGGCATTTTATACTCACTGGTATAAAATGCCTACCAGCCAACTGGCTGGCTGGTAGGCATTTTATACTAGTGAACCCATGTATATTTTCCATATTTAATTATTATGTAACGATATAATAAAACATGAGAGTTAGAAACTTTAACAAGCATCTAATTACACTCTAAGAAAATTATTAACAATTAAACAAAAAATAGTAAGAAAAATTAAGCGAGTTTAAAAGTGCATAGAACGTGAAGACGTGACATCTAGAAAAAAAATTCTAATTTTTTAGTCCATAAAACATGTATCGGATAATTAAATAAATGTACATATATTTGATAACAGGTGTACGGAAGCTTAGTGCCGCTCTTGCACCGGGTGCTCGTTCGGGAGTGTGGCGTATCGAAGCAAAATGTGGTGGAGCATCAGCTCGTGTCGATATAACTGTTGGAGCGGGTCTTGGAGGCTCCAGTGCTACAGCACCCGCAGCAGAGCAACACTATGTCGAACTCAGGTTTGCTGACAGCATGCGACGCCGCTACAAGCCTGGATTACCTTTTGTTGGGCGGGCAAGTATTATTCTACCATTTCTCTTAACTCTTTTCAGGAAATTTCTAGAAGCATCAATGGATAAATCCCATTTTTTTCCTTTATGTAGAAAGAAAATTAGCCTATAAAATCTGTACTTGCCAGTTTGTGGGTACAGGCCTTCTCTCACTCTCTTTCATAACCTTAAATCCTTTCTAATTTTAGGCTAAGAAAGTGTACTAGATGTTTACAAAAACAACCTACTATGCTGCCCTTGTACGTATTGGCAGATTTGACATATGCTCGAAAAAGGTGCTGGTAGGAATGAAACTTGGTTTTGCTTTCGTTTTATGAAATATTTAAGGCACACGATTGTTCTTTAAGTATCTTCTAGTATGTAGATATTTTTTCTGGTTATTTGTAAATTCTGTTATTTAATATTTTTGTTTACAAAATAAGGGTGATAATCGTTTGTCACCCTTATACTTTAAAAAAAAACTCATTCACAGTTCATCTGATGGCATGTGGATGCTTGGTCTATAGAAATCTACATCTATCTTCGATTAACAAATAAAAATTCAGCAAAAGTAAAAAGGTAAACTCACTATACAAAACACAGCAGCAAAAACTATGTTTACGCTAATATTCAGTCAGAGCAGTCAGTCCCCGGTCTAGCCGACCAATTCGTGCTATAACTATGATATAGCTACAGCTTGTCTCTACCACGTTTATAGTTACAAATTTTCATACATAATGCGTCTTCTAGTTTTTTTTTTTATAGAATAAGGGTGAAAAACGAGCACACAGTCCACCTGATGGTAAGCGGATGCTGTGGCCCAAATACATCTACATTTATCCTCAATTAAGAATCAAAATGTAGATGCGACTCCTGAGGATTGAGATGGAATGCGTCGTTTCCAGTAAAAAGGGTCTCCGGTTCTCTATACTCACCATACGAAACACAACAGCATTAAGCTGCTATTTTACGTAATACCAGCGTAAAATTGCAGCTTAACTTGGTCCCATCCCGGACGAGCCGACCCAATCGTGCTGCGACCACAATAATGTTGCAGTTGTTCATGGGCGGCGGTAGTCACTTACCATCAGGTGAGCCGCATGCTCGTTTGCCCCCTCTCCTATAAAAAAAAATATAGCTGCAATATGGCTCTACCACGTAGATTTTAACCAACAGTATAGAATTCAACATGATAGTACATTTTATTAGATTTATAGTCTTCAAACAGAACTATACATCTGTTTTTGAGTGGCTGAGCATCATTCTTTCCCCAGACTTGAGCACGCTTCTTCGATTTGACGAAACAAACAATGTTAGCGCAAACTTATCTCAATATATTACTGTAAACACAGAGACACAAAACAAAATACTGTTAACGATTTTATTGTATGTGTAGATTACAAAAGTGTAACAGCGGTCTAAAACACTGAAAAAATATGCTGTATCTTTATAAATATCAAAGTCGCAATTTAACAAATACTGCAATTAGGATAACTACGAGAACATGGTCTTTCTCCACCGGTGCAAGAACAATATAAAAGCTAAACATTTTTTAAAGATATCTTGCATTGCATTTTTAAGTACGTGCATGAACGAACAATAATAAATGACGGTTCGTTAGCTCATACTTCGTTTGCTAAACTTTTGAGGGCGGCTCTTTATCCAACTCTGAACAATACTTCTTAGTTAGTATTAATATGGATAAGTCGTAGGAAAATAGATAGTAATTGTCAGGAAACATATTTTTCACTTCAAAAGACAATTTTGACAATTTGACAATACGTATTTTTAATCATTATACAACATCCATTTTTAGATGATGAAATGAATATCCTCTGTGATATTTTTATTTTATCATCATCATCATTTTCAAACGTACTTATTCCAATTTGCGATAGCGATCTAAATATTTCAGATCAGGTAATTTTACCACCTATCGCAAGTTCTAAAGTTTCTCCCGTAATTTCCTGAGCCCACTTTACACTAGCCAGGCGATTAACCGTGTCGATGGATTTTATTTCACCACTGACAATGTGAAAGTGTTAATATTTAAATTCTATTTTTATTTTACTTTGTTTGAGAAACAAACAACGTATTAACTAAAATATAATCAATTCAAAATATATTCTGGCGGCGATGTCTTTGCGCCGTAAGCGATACGCACTAATTGGTCGCTCCACGGGCTAAACACCTTGCCCGGTGGGAGATCTCCCCTTTTCCTTTCACGGCCAAAATATCTTAAGCCAAATACAGTTTTAACAAAAATCACACTACTTACACATATTTCTACGTCAAGTGACATTTAAAAGAAAATTTATTTATTTATGTAATTTAAATATCTAATTATCTTTTCTATTAAGTAATGGAGTGGCTTTGATACCAAGTCTTTCAATAGCAGATGTAAAGTCATTAAAGTTTGTTTTGAAATATGTCAACGGTATTATATTTGTCGATACATTTTTTACATGATCTTACTACAAAATTATTTTATAATAATTTGTCCTAAAGGATAAAATATTAACTGAACTAATATATTCTTGAATATTTAATAATTTTTGTTGATTATGATAATGTTAAATATTATGTTGCAGCAAAAAACTGACTAGAACATTGAAAAAACAACTTATATAAATGATATTGAGTATTCTGTTAAATTGAAAATATAATAGGATTCTCCTTATTTTTTATTTACATATTTTCAATATAAAACACACAATTCATTAATATTCTTATGATTTGGAACTTGGGAATATTAAAAGGCTGTATAAACGATATGATAGTAATTATTTATTTCTAAGTAATATTTAAGTATGTTCCTCTCTATTCTTTCCTAAGTCTTGGCAGTGGTACAATATAATAAATTACGAAGGCAGCCTAACGAAGAGCTTTTATATCGACGTGATTCTTTCTCCACTCCGTTTTCAGCGTTCTCTGTTTCGAATTAATATTACGTGGTATCTTTTCTCAGAATTTTTGTTTTTGATTAATGTTATACTTTGGTTGAATAATGCGAAACCAAAGTTTCACAGTCCTTACCAAGAAAACAATTCAGTCTAGTATGAAAATCCGCTTTCATATCGTGTTCATAATTAATAAGACTAACAATACATAGGTCATTAACAAAATATTTGACTGCTTCTTTGGTCTAGTGACTCTAGTGGTAAGCGCGCCTGCTGATGGTTCGGTCGTGGGTATGAATCCCGGGTCGGGCCAAAATCACTGATTGCTTTTTAAGACAGTCTCATTAGCAGTCCGGAGTCAAGACGTTGGCGGGGTTTCATCCCCTTACCTCGGAAGGCTTTGGTCTCCAGACTAATACAGGCCAATCTCCGATCATGTCAAATTGCCGTCCCTTCTGACGATGAGATGAAGTAATAGAGAGTCCACCAGTGCCTGCATGCCTGCGTTGATGGCTGGTCTCAAGAAATATATAAATTCTGTTTGGAGGACAATAAAACACACATTGATTTTTAGTACGTTAAAACTATTGCTATGATAAACTCTGGTCGTCCTTCAGGACAAAAAGATGCTGAATCAAAGAAAAAAGGGCTATCAAAACATACCTATGCAAAAAAAATGCAAATTACTTGGACTGGGTAAACACCGCCCTTTGATTTAATTGGTTTTAATTTATTTTATAAAAACGTTATCTTCACAATACGATTTTCTCCTGTATCGTGAAGGCGGTTGCAAAAATTGCATAAGGACATACATCAAAACCTAAACTATTACTTCAACGAAACACTTGTTTCGTGCGGGATTCAAACCCGAGACCCCGCAGCGCCATGACCAAATTCTTAGCTACTGTCGTCACTTTATACAATTTTTATTTTTTGAAGTGAAAACTATTTTAGCCGCGTTGAGCAATTTTTGGTAGGGGAAAAACTTATGGGTTCACGTCACCGATGATCTTGACATGCTCGTGACGTAGCATAGCGGCCTGTGTACATGTATACACATATATCATTGTGTTTTCACTTTTGTCGGAAGTTCTTATGACTGTGTAAGAGTTTACGTTGCAATATTATAGTACTGTGTATCGATTCAACGCCGGGCCGGCAGTTAGCCCCTCGCTTCGGATCAAATAGAAAGCTGTAACCAAGTGGAAATAAATGCAGTTATATTTAAATAGACTTTGGATCATTTACCATCTACACCTATATAGGCAACGATAAGGGCTAACTCACACCTGCCTAAGTTTTTTTTTAATGTAAGCTTATTATATAATTTGAACTGTATTTCCCATTTGTAAGTGAATTTTATTATTTTGGGAAATAAATGTCTGAGGCCGTAAATAGTCATGTGGCGGCAACGGAAGAAAATTCATCTACTATGTGAAATATCAGGAAGATCGTATGTCGTACGATAAATGGCCACTAACTTTGGTTTTTGTAAGATAAAATACCAAGGCTGGCGACAAAGCCAGCATTAAATGTGTGAGATATCTGCCAATTCGCCTGCTAAGCGAGACAACTAGGGTTTTATTATTATAACTAGCTGACAAGGCAGACGTTGTTCTGCCCTTTCCGACGACCGTTTGCTTTCCTAAAAAAACTTCTGAAATTGGCAATAAAAAACATTGATGGTCACTTATTGGGATAAAAAGTATCCTATCTCTCAAGTTGGACCAAACAGCACACAGTGTGTAAAATTTCATTGAAATCAGTTCAGTAGTTTAGGAGTTCATCGCGAACAATCAATGTGACACGTAATTTTTATATATAAAGATTTTGTCAAAATTTTTAACTCTTTATCATAAACTTTAAGATTGTTTGTAAAAATCTTGGAGTTGCTCTCTCTTTTTCCACATAATTACAATAGAATGAGACAGATATGAAGATACTTCATGTTTAATTTACGTAAACGATAGTCAATATTATTTATAAGTATGGCCGTAAGTGACCAATTCTTGTATGTAAATAATAATTTATATAATTGTTTTGTCAAAAAAGATGTAACAATTTGGAAGCAATTTTTTTGGATAATGTCTTACTTTCCATGTTTATGAAGTTAAGTGCCGTCTCT